TCTAGAAGAAAATTCTTCCCCCAGAAATCAAAATAAGCTATTTGCTTGTTGGCATTTGTGGCCATGGATTTCACCTCTAGTCTTACGGTTTACTCCTGTGCTTTTTCAGGTCAAGTAAGGGTAGAGACAGCCTGCAAAATCCTTCTAATTAACTAGTTTTACATTTGGCTTAAAACATATTGTCCCAAGCATCTGATTTACATGTTCGCATATGCCAGCCAAAGCAACTGCCTGAATAGTCTGTTGAAATAAGTGCTGGACAGAAGAAATCTGTTCTAAAACTTTGCCTAGAAACCACACAAACTGTGTAGCAATATTGTGGCATTTAATGGCTAGCACACATTCGGGGTAGTTCAGTGTGGTACTGTCTCAAAGAGGAACTGGAGTGGGCTTTAGGAGGAAGCATTTGTTTAACTGCCAAACATAATCTCATCTGTTATTATTAGTCACATTCTTGTAATAGAGTCTACTATATCAGCTGGTAAAGTGACACATGTGAAGTACAAACTGCTGAGCCTCTGCAGGAGGCATGTCCCTCCCTCTGAAGGCTGTTGACAGCATTTGCTTGCTGGGGCCTCTGGCTCAAAAGGGGTGGCATGTAACAGGCCAGTGAGGAAAATGGTTCACTGGCTTTTTGCAGCAGAAGCACAATGGCAGCTAACAAGGGCAGGAGGGAAAGGACCAGCAGAATTGATACACCATATAACTTACAATGGTGTATACGCCTGCTTCTGAAAAGGGACTATCCTTTTTTAACAACTGAACATTTTTATCAAATGCAATAGTATGAAACTGTGCTTATGCACAATACAAACATTTAAATACAAGAAAAGGCAGAGAATAATTATACTGAGTAAGCTATCTGAATGCAGAAGCCAAGCTTTTCAGAAATTAAAGTACCTTATCAATATTTGGTGAAGTGTATCCTTCATAACATACTGTGGAGTCTCCTCCACTTGCTATTGGGAACTCTAAATTGTCATGTCCCAGATCCTCCTCTATATAGAGTCTTGTCAGTTCTTCTGTTGTGTCTTGTGCTCCTCTGTAGAAATCTGATTCTTGAGGCTTTGACTGATCCCCTATATTAACTGTCAGATCTGCGGTACAGATTTCCTCTTCGTTTTCAGCAGCTGCAGTTAGCACTCTGGAGATGGAGCCACCTTCATGTGGCAAAGGGATGTTACAGATAGCACCAACATGTTCACCTTCTCTTGCAATGATACTTGTAGTATCTGACAAGTTTCTAGGTACTTCGATAACTGAAGAGTCAAGTATACCTCTCAAGTCTTGATCTTTTCCTGGTTTGGTGTTGTTGCTGGTATGCTTATATACTATGTCATGAGATGAGCTGGCTGAAGATGAGACAGAGGTAGATACAAGACAGGACAGAGGAAGAGCTGTAGGAGAGCTGAGAGACACCTCTGTATTTGGAATAAAGTGATCATCCTTAACAGGGTGAATGCTATTACCTGGGGAGACTGCTATGGATTGGGATGTTAATGCCAAAGAATCGAGTTCTTCTAAGTCACAAATAAAACTGCCTGGAAATGGTGGAGGAGGTAAGATGCCCACGCTTGAAGGTGAAAAACCATCAGTCCTTGAAAACCAGTCACTAGTGGCAGCCTGGAGAATCTTTTGATCAATGTGTGACCAAGAGGAGGAAGGGTGTCTGGAAAGTGGGGACAGTGCTTGGGAAGGCAACTTCAAAAATAAGAAAAACATGGGAATTTAAACAAACAAATAAATAAGCATAACAGAGAATTAGGATATGAGTAGACTGGAAAAGAAAAAAGTCTGTGCCATCATCTGGATTATAGGGTATCATTTTAGGGAGCATGGGTGTCTGAAATCGTTACTACATGAATCAGAAGAGCAGGAAAGACATGTGAAAAACGAAACTGTATCAGGTTCTGGCTTGGGGCTTAAATGTCAAACATTAAGACAGATCTGAATCAGTACATTCATGAAGGCGACCTGCATTTGATCTGCTAAAGTTATGTTACCTATGGTGCTCTGTTACTGAACCTGTCACAGGTTATTAAATCATACAATTAATATTAATGTCATTTTCCTTAAACCATTACTGTTATTTTGAGAACAGCATTTTCAGAAGTACACTTCAGATGTCATTGTTTCTTTTAAACTATAACAACTGAGGTGATTTCTAATTATACTAATGTTAATAGACCTACTTAGTACTTTTGAGTAAATGTTTAAGAAACATCTTTAATACATTGCATACTTTTATTAAGGCACAAGCAGCTACAGAAAGCATTTTTTTTCCAAAAGCAACCCTATTAGTTCAAATGACATCAACATTTCTGAAAGATATAATCAATTCTGGATGAATCTAGGCAGTCAGCAACGCTTTTAAAATAGTGACAGCACAGTACACAGCAGTGTATTTTGAGTACCGTTACATAATATTGATTGAAGTATCCTTCTGGTAAAAGAAATGTCCTTTTGTAAGAATGAGAAACTGGTGAGTCATACGTACACAGCATCAGTAGATATCCATTGCTTCAGTAAATACTGAAAATGCATTTTTGTTACTATTAATCCTCAAAATTAAAACTGAGTGAAAAATATTATCATCTCATTAGAATTATCCAGAATAATTAGATGTACATCTCTCTAAGTTATCTGGACTTCTTTAGTCTTTTAAGTATTGCTCTAGAATAGGAAACTAATTTTAAGAGGGTAAATTAATGTCACAGAATAAGAAGGTTGATTTACTTACCTTCTGCTTGAGTTTTCTTGAGGCAAATACCTTTATTTTATAGTTGGACAAACCTCTGTTACAGTCTTTTGTACCAAAGTAAACAGTATAGACTGATACAATGCTGCCTGCTAAAACAGAGCTAGGCTGTTACAAGCAATACTCTCCCTCATGTTTCCTCTTGAACAAGGGCCTCTAACCTGTGGTTTTAAGCTCAACAACACTGCTGAGGAGAAACTGCCATTTTTAGTTTCCTGTAGCTACAGGCTGCGCTAGAGCTAAAGATATAGATGGTCTAGGCCAAGTTAAGGAGAGAGATAGCTTGCTCCTGACTTGTATTGCTTATTTATTTTTATTGCAATTAGGCCAGAGAAGTTTAATGCAATTGCTCTAGCAACAAAGAGTGATAAGTGCTAAAAAAATCCAAAGTAATAGGAAAAGTGGTATCAGCAATTGTGGTAAACTCCAGAACACCTTCAGGACTGCTGAAGTCCTTTTAGGTAGTCAGAAAAAGATGTCTTCTTACATGGTACTGCCATTTCTGAATACAGTTGAATTCAGAAACAAGATATCTGTTTAAGAGTGTCAGTGGAGGCGTTTTTTTTTTTTTACTTGGCCTAGAACCAGATGATTGCAAAAGTTTCCTGTGTTACAAAGAAGGCTTCTTCCACTTTCCTCACCTACAGAACTAATTTAGTAGTAACTAACTTAATAATAGTGGCAGGATAGTTTTGTAATCTGAATGTAAATAACTCTGAAGCATCACCAATGCTCAACAAGGGTTCCAGGGGTTACACAAACACTAGGCTTTAGCTGCAGGATGCCTTAGAGACAAGCCTGCTCCATAGAGTGGCATCTCCAAATACAGAGACACAGCTCTGTAATATGGAGCACCTAAGCTGCCTCATACTCTTGACTTGCCTTCAGGAACCTCTAGATTCCTGTAATAATAAGGGGCCCTAGCTTATGAATACCTCAGTCATCAGCTACAGAATTTGATGCTACTTCAATTCAACAGTTTTGTCGGAATGGAAGAGAGAGGAGCTAGGTCTCTGTTATAACATATTCTGGAAAACCAGACAAGACCTGTTCGAGCAACTATCCAAAACCAGCTAATATTCTTTAGTTGCAAGCAGTATTTTCAGAGGTCACCGTTGCCTATAAATGACATATTTTGGTAGCTGTCCCCAAAGCTGCAAATAAATGTGGAACTTATTTCAAAGTTGAAGCATGTAAATGAGAACCAGTATGCAAGTATATGAAAGTAGAAAGGGGACAAAACCAAGTGAAACAAATAGAGATTAATATCAGGATAAGAAGTTTATAGTTACACACAAACATCACTGCCCATACTGAAGAGATAAACAGCAAAGGTAAAGAGGAAGATTTAGAAAAGTTTCTGTCTTGAGCGTTCAAATTAATTGATATGTTAATGCTAATCACAGTTTGTATACAGAAACTTTCTTAGTTTCTATCACTGCCAAAGAGGTTATGTTCCCTGCGCAGGTGACATCTCATGAGCGAATGATAAACCAGAGAACAGGAATCTTTTTTGCAACATCCTGTAGTACAATTTGTGGTGGATATATAGACTAGGAAGGAATAGAATTCAGAACCTACAACAGACATTTGGTGTGAAAAATTACAACTCTAAAGGTCTGAATCCAAGTATATTGACAATGTGATGATGTTTGCCTCACTACTAAATGAAACAATACTGTCACTTTTGTCGTATCTCTTCAAGGAATCTCCATGGTACAAACAGCCTCCTTCTAGAGTGTGAACGGCAAAAGGAGGAAGGCTATAGTACAGAGTCATTACCTGTTCTCCTTTACTTTTAAAGGCACAGAACTGGTCTTGGCAAGTTGTGTCCCCATGCAAACTGCCCTCTCTTGGCCCTTCCATCTTATGGGACTGCAGGCTTTGAGGACAGCTGTGTTATGGGAATGTCTTCACATTGCACTATGAAAAGTCTGCTAGACAAATCCTTAATGCTCAAATTCTGTATAAGATTCCCAAATAAATTTTATTGTGTTGGCTTGATTTTTCTGCCCAAATTTTGTCTGTCCCTACTTTCAATAATGTAGTAGCTAATGAAGAAAAGAACAAAATCCTGGCAGAATGTAAGACACACACTCGGCTATTAAAATACTTTAATAACAAAGTATTAGTAATGCAAATCTACCGATGCAGGAAAGTAATGTAGTGCACTTAATGCATAAATTATGTGTCCCTCTAAACCCACTGTAGGGGTGATAGCAAAGAAAAAAAAAATCCTTACCTTAGTTGAACTTAAATGGTGTATTCTGTCACTAGAATAGCTTTGGGGTATTGGAGGATCAGGGTAGTCATCAACACCTTTTGATGCATTCTTTTTGATGACTTCTACATATGAAACAGGGAAGATGCCTTGTCTGCTTGTTCCTGGTATTTTACCTTCATACCAGTTTTGATCAACTCGCTTAAGAAGAATTACTCTGTCTCCCTGAAATGCATTATGAAAATACGTTATCAGCAGACACATTGTAAGTTAATTTTTTGAACAGCAGATATTATCTTAAGACATAGTATTATTTTCCCTGCAGTGCTGTTTCCTATCAGTCTTGAGAATCATCTCCATTTTTGTGTTTCTCCTCCCATTTACAATAACCATGCATACAACTACCATTCCAGCAAATGGGGGGGCTAGTCATGGAAATGCAAATGTTGTTCTTTTATCAGAGGGAAATCTCGTGTAGTCTCCTACTCTTGATTGGGGGATTAACATTTAAACTTTTCTTTGGAACATAAACTGTTTCAGCTGTTGGTCAAATGACTAGCTAACGTCCTAACTCTAATATGCAATAGTGACTGCTATCCCTGTTTTTCCTTAAAAGTGATAAAAGTTAAACAATGAAATCCATGTAAGTGCTTTGGTGCTTTGCTATCAGTAAAACTGGAATAAGTGAGGTAGAAAGTTAAAAAATGAGTTCATGTGAAAGATGTGGAAAAAAGTGCTTTTCTTGTGTAAAAAAAAAAAAAAAAACCAAACAAACCCAAAACCAACAAACCAAACCAAACCAACCAAACAAACAAAAAAAAACAAACAAAAAGATGGGATGGGCAGTGGATCACTTACTGTTTTTAGAGAGCTCAGCAACTAATATGGAAAATACCCAGTTTCTATTCAAACTTTTCTCTGTTGTGAAACTTCATGAGCTACCTCCTTTCTTTGCTTTACGTGATTGCTGTGCTTTTTACTGTGTGTCAGTAACAAACCCCTTCCCCATTAGTTTTGTGTTTTCTTGTGTTTCTGTAATTTTGTGTCTGTAGTTGATTTGTGAAGTACCCTAAAATTATCTTTGGTGGGATGGAACAAAAGAAAACTAGTGCAAGTTAACTTTTAAAAGCAAACCAAAACTGGGCTGTCAAGATGATGACCACCACAATAAGCACAAAAGAGATTTTTTTAAAAAAGAAATAAATCTTTTATCTTAGACCCCTTTAACTTTTACCAAAAAAGTGGAAAACCACCCACTATCTCCAGTGATGCTGGATCAGGCTCTAGGTCAGCATCAAAAAACTGTATCCTTACTCTTATTTCAAAAGAAAAACAAACCACCAAGTATCTTCTATGAATTCTAATTCTTAAAAAAAAAAATAAAAATTAAGAGGCAGAACGTTCCAGTGGATATAAAGTATATACTACTTACAACTAAGTATATAATAGCCTCAATAATAAAGTTTCTCTACAGCAGTAATATTCCAGCGTTTCACAAACCTCAGAAATTAAACATTTATTTTGTTCATGTGCAATAAAGTATAACCACCAGGATGTGCACAGAAAAGATAAGAGAATGTTATAAAAAGCGGATTGTTATTAAATTAAAAGTTTGCATGAACTATACATGCACAAATATATCTCTGAGCCTTTTTTCCTAGATCTTCTATTTTCTGTATTCTTCTAGTTGTTCTGTGTTAAAAATGTTACTAGGATAATTGTGACAGCAAGAAATAATTATTAAAAAAGGAATGGATAATTGAAGTGAAAACTAGAAATGCAGGTGGGTAGTTAGCAGATATTTGCATATGCTAATCTACCACAACCCAGTTTATATGCACACCATCTTTAAACTACTTGCAGGTAGCTGTGAAAGCTTGTAAGCCAATGAGCTATTATGTTAGTAGTTTCCTATCGTTACATTGCTTTATGCATAGCAAGTATCGAATGTAGAGGCCACCAAAACACAGTATTTACCTTTGTATTAATTCCATGTAGCAGTAGACACTATAACGGTATTTTGATAAAGACAGTTCTAAACTGTACCTTTCTAAGTGATAATTCCACATTTGTGTCTGCACTGAAATTATATTTGGCAATAGCTTCTCCAATCTCTCCAATCTGTGCAGGGGGAGGTGGCCTGGCAGGCTGTGCTTTTTCTGGGGGAAAAAGTTTCTAAGAAAAAAGAAAAATCACAGATTTTCATTATTCTCATGCAGTTTGTGGACCTATTACCCAAACCATTTCAAGGAATTAAAACAGAGAACAAACCTCGACATATGAAATTGGGAATATTCCAACTCTTCCATGGTGCTCACCTTCATACCAGTTTTGATCAATTTTCCTGAGGATATAGACAGTATCTCCTTTCTTAAAGGACAGCTCTCTGTAACAAATTTGTTTAGATCAGATGTTTACAGCTTTACACTTAACTCTTCCACCTGCATAGTTTCTGAGTTCTTTACAGTTTGGAACTGAAACAGAATGTAGCAATGAAACATCTGAGGAAAAAGCGTCACAGCTGTGGTACATTTACCAGTTGGCCATACCATTCACATTTATGAATCCCAGGTACTAGCTGTGAGTTATATATGCCTGTTTTACACTGTCATTCCAAGGAAGTACTGCTAGTTGTTACCAGAGCACTTAGTATAGAGTCTGCATGCAAGCATGATGTCTTTTGGATGGACTGTTTGGATACTGCTTTTACGACAGGCATCTGAGGGGTCTTTGGTGTTCTTTATGAAATCTGTAAAGAAAACCGTAGAATATACCCCCCACGTCTCTATGGCCTATTACTACCTTCTGCAGCAGCACAGCTTGGTGTGCTTCTGCTCTATGTGTTTTTCTTTCAAGACAGCTGTTCAGAAGTGTGAAGAACACAGGATTATGTTCTCACCATTTCTGATACTCAGGGCCTGTGATAAGCTTGATGTTGGGATACCAAAAAGGGAATTACCCAAATCTTTAAGAATATTTTCAGATTCTGGCCTGGGTGTTCTTTCCTGTATCATCCATTTGGTTTTTCAGGGGCTAATCTGTTGTTCTGATAATTCATGTTGTGAGTTTCCTACCAGACACAGCTAATGTAATTCTAGTGTCAACGTCAGGCCATATCTAAAGATCATTTAAATGCCCCGGATCATCAGAACAACAGCAGGCATGAAATATAGGCACTCTACTTTGACTATCTCCTATCCTAAAACAATGTTTCCTGATTTTGTTTTTCTTCTGCAACACTGTGGTTTGGCTTGGTATGGGACATGTCACATGCTGCAGAGAGCCTGCGTATGTTAAGACAGACAAGAAGATGCTGAAGCATTATACAGTATTTTGATAAACACACTATCTGTGACAGTATTTTAAGCACTGTAACCTTGTGTAACCTAAATACAATTCACCACAAATGAAGAGCGTTCAGCGGGTGACCCTCAGCACCCATGCTGTAGAAGGCTGAAGATGCACAGCCGTTTGTGTGTTCAAACAAATGCAATGGAGTATATCATAATTTAAGACATTTTTATTACAAAATAACTTCTTGCACAGTTTGCTAATGCAGAGGCTACTGTGACAGCAAGCAGGCCCTCTGCTTCCATGGCATTTGCTGTTGAAAGTGGCCAGAACAGCAGTTAGCTGCCACAAGCGCTAGAAAGAGTTTTCTTGAATTATGAATTCTTAAATGAACAAAAGTCTAGTACTTACTTAGAAGTCTGAGCTTTAAAGTCATATACAGCTTTAGCTGGCAGTTTCTGAAAAGTAGGCAAAGTGATTAATACATTCAGGTAGTATGTACTATACGGTAAATGTGTTTCAGCTTTTAAAAAGGTGACCAAGATCAAAAAAGAAAAGGACTTATGCTTTACAGTGGTTCTTGCAGTAATAGGCAAATGATACACAACTTCCTTTTTTAAGGCAGTCAGGTGTTTGGGACTTAGTATTTTAAAAATAGAAATAGCAGCTAAATCTTAATACAGACTACTTTGCAATTTTATGTTTAAGAGAAGTACAAAAGTAAAAAAAAAATTACTAAATCCCAATGTGACTTGTAGGCAACCACATCTCTAGCTACAATGGAAATTCACACGCTTAATATTCTCTAATACTTTAGATGCTCTTCTGTTAAAGTCATTATCTTTAGGCTAATTTCAACTGCAAATACTGCATCACATTTTCTATATATATAAAAGAAAAATTACTCTGACAGCTTGAAAAGGTTGGGAATATTTCTATATTAGATTTCTATAATCACATTAATAGTTTTAATAAAGTCTGAGAAACTCAGGACTGGAAGTGATCTCCTGAGTCATCTGTGAAGCTCTTTTGCTATCATAGGCAATCACATCACATCATTCCTTTCATACATTTATCAAGTTCTGTCACCAAGTATCTGTGAGCTCAATATTGCTTCAAAAATAAGACTGTAAAACAACCCTACTTCTCCTCACCTATGTGGCTGACAGTTACACTTTCACTGTTTCCAAAGCTGTGCTGAAAATATGAACTGTGATCCGACCCAAAAGCCTCCCTTGTCTAGTGTCTGCCTAGATGGAAACTTCAGAGGAAGGTGCAAGAAGTGGTCAGCAGTATTATGTGAGGATATTTGGTAAAGTGATTTAGTCTTTCTCTGCAAGTACTTGCACAGATGAGAGTGATACATTTTAAAAAATATCTCCCTAGGATATACTAGTGACTGGAACGAGCTAATTATGCTATTTCTGAGAGATACTATTTGTAATGACTTAAGGCTGCATGTCTTTTAAGAGGAATAAAAAAGGACACTTGTAAGTTCTGCATTTTACCTTTCTTCCAGGAGAGATGTTCTCGACTGGGTTCTCTCCCTTCTTGTCACCTAAAGGCTAGCAAATTTAGCATACCTAGAGCATTGTCTTTGCTATAATAAAAAAGTCCCCAAAGTTATTACAGGGATCCTCTCAACTTGCATTTTGTAATACCAATACAATTTTCCATTACAGGTCTCCTTCAAATAAGAGCCAAAATTTAAAAGCATTTTTCTGTTCCCTGCTGTTGTTAAAAACAGTCTTTTAGATGGGAGGGGATATTCATATCAGCAACTGTAGCTAAGCCCTTTTCACTCTTTTCTGATTTTGGTACACAGCTGGTGCTGTAACTGTTAAAGCAAATAATGGAAGAAGGGGGTTAATATTAAAAGAACAGCAGAGCTGATTAAATACAAAATACTTTGAAATGTAGAAAACATACTGGAAAGCTTTCTCCTTTCACTTTTTTAAATTACATCATTCTTAAGAATGTCTTGTAGCGTATTTTACGTATTTTCAAATTTGAAAATTGTGTGATATTGATTTCAAATCAATATTATACAATTCTTTAAAAGGAACACACAATAAGGCTCCTGGAACTTTTTTAACCTTTATTTTGTAATGAGCAGTCTTTTTTTTTTTTTTTTAAATTTGACTCTTACTTGAATTGGAGCAATATAACCATGTCAGTGGGGTGGTAAGTGGATCTGAATTCAGATCCTGTAACCGGTTCTGACCCGTATCACCATTTAACAAGGTAGATGATCCAGAGCAAACCCTTAAATAATAGCAATTAAAATACAGTACTATCTTACATTTCTGTTATTTTGTGCACTATTTTAATCAAAATCAGTGGAAAATGTTAACAATCTATAGTCTGTAGATGTTGGTTAATGGAAATGTACTGTATGATTGAATAAAATCCCTGAGCCTGTTTGGAGAGCATTTATAGTTCTAGATCTAGAAATGTTCTTAAGATACTGAATGATATACTCCATTTCTTTACGTATACTTTTCAGTGATACTTTGTGTTGTATTCCTGCTTCCATTTCCTCTTCCAAAGCATTAATATAAGCAATCAGTATATAATTACAATCACCAACTGTTACAGAAATTAGAGATCACTCTTAGGATAAGCGGTTTTGTCTAACATGCTAACAGCAGTGTGTTTGCTTTTTCTAAACAGAAATAATGGTGAAATACAGACGTTCTTTGTGTCAGTTTTGAAACTACTGAGAAAATTTCTTTGTGTAATGCCCTGGTTCTCAAAAAAGCCTTTCCTCATCACATCTGCTATTTTTCCCTGTCCCAAACACCCATTCCGGTCAACTTTGCCAGAGCCTATCAATGACTAGTAAACTTACGTCCATATCTAAGCTTATCTTACAAAGCTTGAGAGTCTTTTAATTTCTTGAAGTACCAATCTCCTTAATGAAAAAGAAGGATGCTGTCCCATCTGATGATATGATAAATAACTGTTCCTTTGGTCTGTATTATTATAGTGTCTTAAAACCAACACAAATCTTGTCTCAGATACGTTACCAGTTTTCCATATGGATATTGCTTCACTATTTATTGTTGTTTTACTACCTCTTTGTCTGTAGTTCCTCTTCTCTCCCTTGGAGTACATCGTCCCATATCAGTGAAAGCAGAAGAATAGCTTCCAGGAGACTCCTGGTCTACTGAAAACAGAAATTATGTGAAACTATGGTAAATTAAACAAAAACATTCAAATCTGTGATGCTGCTTAGTTTTATTTAGAGGGGTGAAGAGATACTGAAATCTATTATTTTACCTTTAGTAGAAAGAAAAGCACATATGGCTAAAGTGCAGCTTTTTAAAGAAAATAAAAGATACTAACTCTCAAGCAAAGGCAAAGGCTGTCCTCTGAGCAACAGCAGCAGAAGAATATATGATAGAGGATCAAGAGAGCAAAATTATGCCTCACTGTACAAAGGGATGCACCCCTATGGGACCAAATGGAAGACATGACAGCAGTACTGGGATTTCATCAGCTTGCATGAAACTGTTTTGGAATGCCAACGATTTAAACACATAAGTACATGCACAAAATATGATTAAAGCATGCTTCAATGAGAAAATAGTGAAGACAAATTGTTTCCTCCTAAGTAATCTAGGATGCATTTCTACTTCACCAGGGGCACGCATTAGGCAGCACAAGGGAATTTAAAATGATGTTATTTCATAAAAACAAGTTTGTTTTAAGAGATGGAGTACAAACCATTACTCACCAATCTATGTGGCAGATTTTCTCTAAAGCACAGTTTACCAATGTTTATTATAGAATAGTATATTATATAATGGTGAATACATCTTTTCATGTTTTAATAAAAATAAAATCAAAATCTTACACTCTTTATAGCTCTGCAAATTGCCAATATGAAAAGAAACATGGAATTATTTCAGACCACAGGATGAGATGAACTGCCTCTTGACTTCTGAGATTTACTGTTTTAGTTTCCTAGTGCCACAGTGATACCTGCTAGTGGAGACATACGGCTGATTTTGTTTTCCTTTGACTTCATTCACACAATCTGTTCTTACCAAGCCCATATGTTTCTAAAGAAGTACAAGTGGAAAAAAAAGAACTGAAATAATCTCATCCATTATGGTAAGGTCTTACAGAAGAAAGATATAAATGATCTCCAGTGGACTGTGGGCTAAGCCACAAAAACTTGAGGCTGTTGATAAATACAGTGGCAGCAAAGAATGAGATAATAGTATCATTCATGTCATTGACTGCAAGCATGTCATCACTAGCAACTGTATCACAGTCCCAGTTCTGGACAGCTTTCTTGATACGGCATGTGTCTGTGAACAAGGATCTATGCTCACTGCATAAATCTAAAGATATAATGCCTCCAAACACATCTATTATTTTTTTCTTTAAACTCCAGCAGAAAGAGAAAGACATGGGAGGGAAGGAGCGAAAACATAGAAGCTTTAGGAAGAACAATTTCCTTTATTTCTGTACAGCTCCTTATGCAGTCAATAGTGGTAGTTTTCAGTGATTTTTGCTATGACCTTCAGGTCTCCATGTGGATGGTGGCTGTAAGAGACACACACAGATCCAACAAAACATAAAACTTCATTAGAAGTAGAGCTCAGCCATGACTGGTGCTGATGGAAGTCAATGAAATATTCTGCTGTAGTCATTCTCCTTGATACTTTAGGGATATTAATGTTGACAGAGTGTACCACCTTCCTCATGCCAGGCCCCTTCATAGATGCAGAAGCTATTAGGAATTCATGTTTACTCTGCATTGTGGATTTTCTTATTTTCAAGGACTGGAAAACTCATTTAGGAACTGTGATGTGTCACCAGCACAATTTCCAACAACTTCACTCTCACTGTGTAGTACTGCCTGCCAGGGTTAGACATGATCAGGCCTCAAGTATGACTAATTCAATTCTGAACTGTGTTTTATAGCTGTTTTTTTATCAAATTCTCTGTTCTCAATATGTCTATTTTAACTAGTTAAGATGGTAAGCACTTAAATTCTCTTGAAATACATATTTACTAGTGTGGTACTTGCAAAAGTTACAGGAAAAGATGTGAGATTAAAGATAAGTAAGATGGGTCTGATCAAATATTGCATAATTGATATATTAAAGACATTCTCTTACATCCATTTGTGATTTCAAGAATAGCTTTGTAACGGCGTTAAATTCTCAAAGATGCTCTGTCACAGAATGTGACTATGTTTAGAAGCAGAATTCTTTAACACAGAAATGTTACCATTTAAAAAGAGAAATAAATTATAGACTTGCAAGACATTAATCTAAATCATCTGGGATATACCTTTGTGCACTCCTGCTAGTTTGCTGCTTTTAATATTGCAGGGTTAAACTTTAAGAAACATTTTAAGCTCAAGCAATTTTTTTGAGAAAGAGCAGAGCAACAAAGTAGTAACTTTAAAACCAGATCACTGTCAAGACAGAAGTCTTTAAAAGTTATACTCACCCTGACAGTTTCATTCAAGTTTTGATTATTGAGAATTTCCCTTCTAAGAGGATAGGAAATTTCTCAAAACCTCATAGATATAACAAAACTCTATGAGAAGAACTAGTTTTGCTGCCACAGAAATTGGAAATTTATTGTTTGAACAGTGGAAATGGAAACTTCCTAAAATGACTTTAAAGTCTATTCACAAAAAGTAACATAAAGTAGTGGAATTAGATTATTTTCATAAGAAAACAGAATCAACTTACTTTCTATGATAGTGGCAGGATTAACAGCATTTTTACCACCTACATGTAACAAAACTATACAGTACAACATGTTTTAGGTGCAGATTTTTATTTTTATTTTTTTAACAATAAAGGAAGAGCTATCTGTATATTGTTTTCTGTTTGCCCAGCATCTTATGATGCATACATTCATTTTCTATAAGGTCTTTTTCTTGGGGAAAACGCCCACATTGCTTAATTTAGTAACCCCATGGTAATTTATAGCACTAATAATCTATTAGTTTAAATACTCCATTGCTCCAGTTGTCCAGATTACTGTATTTTGTGAATAGACAGCAAATTTATCTAGCCTCATCACCTATGTAAAAATGACATCCTTCATTAAGAAGTTCGTGGGATGAAAGCTTCTTACAGACAACACAGATAAAAATGGAATGAGTAAGGGCGGGAAATACAGGGAGTAAGGTTGGGTAAGTAAATCACAAGGATAGAGGAAGAAAATTAATCCACCTTGGAAACACAGTGCACTATTGTTGTTAGTTGCGTCCATGTCTGGAAAAGAGGCACTAAGAGGTAATCTTCCACAATCATTCCGGTACAGTGGGCAATGGATAGCACCATCTTGAGGCAGTGGATGAAAAGGCTGGTGCATGGGACTCTTTTTCAGAGCTTTAAGAGAAGAATTCCTTTCTGGAATGTCTGGAAGCAGCTCAGTAATAAGTCTGTGTAATATACTGTTGTCAGGCAAGCTTCCCCTTCTTTTTTCAGCTTTAATTTGGTCACAGATGTCTTTAAGTGCAGAGTCTAGGGCTTCAAATACAGATGACTTGCATTTTTTCTTTTCAGTTTGTTTTTTAGGAGCTGCACTTTTTTTCCTCCGGAAAGGCACTGGACTGACTAGGAACGCTATCTTAGAGAGGCCAGATTCTGCTTCCTGTCTTCTTGGATCTTCAGTGGTTTCTTGTTTAGCCCTTTCATGTTTTAGCATGGTGGTGAAGCGGGTGTAGGATGCTGGGCATCGCCCTTTGCAGGAGCTGATGAGATGCCTGTGGTGGTGGTGGTGGTGGTGGTGGTGATGGCCTGATCCATAAAAGCTTTCAGATGATGTGAAGGAAAAGTGGTCGAAGTCACTTTCACTACAAAAAGATGAACCCTCTATCTGGATAAAGTCACTGAGGTCAGAAACCACTCCATCTTGATCACTATCTGAAAAATCCATATGAGATCGCTGTGGCTCATCACTGGTCACTTCAATGTGAATTGGCACCAGGGTTTTAGTCTTGTAGCTCCGTTGTACCTGAGAAGGATGTCTGCCTTGATTTTCTTCTTCCAGCAAAGATTCGATAGAAAATCGCCTCTGTGGACATAAGCCATTTTTAGGAGGCTCTAGTGTAACAGTTGACAACATTTCATCACCTAGGTTTGGCATTGATTTTGACTTCTGAATTAATTTTTCAAATTCAGATATTCTTGTTGGTACCATGTCTCTGGGCACCTCTTCAGTAGAAGACTCTCTCCAGCCCTGAAGAATACCTTTGTGTTGTTCCTTTTCATACTGCAGTATTCTGGACTTCACAGAACAAATCACCTCAGAATTCATTAAGTCCTTGCGATTGATGCGGTGCATCTTTTTGTACATTTTTAGGAAACCTGGGGCATCATGTGCAGATCTGTGACGAACTCTTGATCTACTAGTACCACGGCCCTCAGCATATGGGGAGGCCCAGTTCATTGCACAGACTTCTTTGGAGTCCTCCTCACATAACAGAGAGCCCATGCTTTCAGACTTGGCCTGTGCATCAGGAAAGCTATCACGATCATCTGTTAACAGATCATCACAGCTACGAGATTTTCTCTTTGGAGAAGCAGTTTCTTCTGTGCTGCTCCAGACTTCTGCATTTTGACGAGTCATTTGCCAGCCATTCTTGTAGCTAATTGCCCTCCTTGAATCGTTTGGAACAGCTAAATGTTGTCTGTAAGTGCTACAGTAATCTAATTCGTTTGAGGTGTTGTGGTTGTGCACTGAATAACTTAAAAGGGATGGATACACTTTGCTAATATCCCCACCTTTATAATCCATAGAGCAGCATGGTAAAAAAGAGACATTGCCAGAAATTAAAAGATTCAGAAAGTTGGAATTAACATCAGTAAGTATTAGAAAGACTAGAAAAGAGACAGCAATTAATGCATCTATCAACTTAGGTCAGTACCTAGGGTTGCTACAGCCTGGGGCAGCAGAGCTAATAAGTTATTTTTCCAGCTGTAAAAATGTACTCGTGATAGTTTGAACATCAAAAAGAATTATGAATTATGGAGATGTTACCCACTCTGCAACTCCCCCACCGAAGCAACGTAAGAAAACAATATTGATTATTAATTAATTATTAATTGTATTGATTTTGAACAAGGTCAACAGACAATAAAAGCTGCAAATGGTATAGGATGAAGTCAAACAATAGATCTTGACCTCAGTCAAATATCGACTTTTCCACCTGTGCATTCTGAAAAAAGCTGTTCAGAATTTTTGAGCTGAATAATGCTCATAGAGTTCACAGCAACTGCATATTCTAAGATAATAATTAAGGTAAAGACACATCTCTATATAAGATCAAACTGGAAATTTCTCCCAGTTGTTCATAAGTTCTCTTTCCTGGTGTGATAGCACTGAAGGGAGTGGTGTTTTCTACAGCTTATGGAGGGCAGAACAAGGTGGCTGAGGAACGGCTACACAGGTGTAAAGGAAGATGTATCAGTTTACTGAGCCTAACCAGCATGGAGAAGAAACAATAACCCTTAGATTGACTTCCATAACAAAGCCTGAGTTTTCAAGCAAGTTTTAAGACATATTTTTATGCGCATGCTAGATCTAGAAGTCACTGAGACAAATTTGGAATTGTGGTCTCTCATACACGCACTGAACTTTCAAAACTCCTCTCAAGTGGCAACATTCAGTTCAGGACACATGCTTCAAACAGCTCAATCTGCTTTCTAGAACAACTCGAATCTGGATCAGAAACTGAAACACTTGAGTTCAAAAATCTACGTTGATCAAAACAGCTTATAATGTGCTGTTTCTTTAACAAAATGGTTAACACCAAGAAAAATTAAGATTATAGTAGGTTTCATAATGCTGGAAGAGAATGGAGTGACACAGCCAGGTCACTTTCTGAAAGTTAATTCACCTGTGGTAGATGTTCTTAAGGGAAGGATTTCCAAACACAGGAAGTGTTTAAGTCATGGTAAGTGCTCGTTAGCAGAGGTGTAGTCAAAGGTAAATGCAGGTAAATGGAGTTTACCAACTTTTCACTGCCTGGCCTGGTACACCAAATGGATGAGTTTACCCACTTTTTAAATCACCACTGTAACACTGGGTTTAAAATAAGTTTGCTTTTCCATTATTTCACTGTTAATATTCCTCACTGCTTTTCTTTGTCTGATGCATTCTGTTGCAGCCTGGAGACTTCTTTGCAGTGGGAATTTACTTTTACAAAGGTTTTTTACAGTTCCTAATACAGCTATAGACTGATTAGGATAGTTACAAAATACAGCAATTAAATGAATAATAATAACTTAAACAGATATTACATCGTATGTTTTACTGGAAACCTACTGTCTTGCTAAAAAAGCCCACCCAAAACGTCAAACACAAACAAACAACTTCATTATCTCTTTTCTGGAGAGACACGGAGAAGAGTAATAGAATGGTGACTGACTTGGAAAAATAATCTAATTCGACTGTATATGCTGTACTAAATACTTCAAGGATTTACAAAATCAAAAAGTCAGACTATGGATGTTTGCTTGATTAAATTAGGTCCTGATAACCGACAATGTCTAAGACATCAGCTATAGATTTGAAAGGTCTGCTACCCTATAACCTCATCTTTAATCTTCTATGCTATTTGTCTTGATTTACCTTCTGTATATTCTGAAAACATGTTTTAAAATCACAATAATCTAATTAGACAGCAGTGGAGTTAATAAAACTTTATAGGTTTATATATTGTGGTCCAAATCATAGTCTTCATTTAGACAATTTACTTTTGTTAGAATAAGCTGTTGAAACTGGAAAATCCTTGTTACAAATCCAGCTTTTCAGCTTAAAATTACAGTCGAAAGAATAAACAAGTTAGTCTTTCATGAAAAGCCCAGAGCTGTTGCTTCACATAGTAAATCTCCCAGTGAAAATGCACTGAGCAACAGTAGGCAGTTGCATTTGCTACCGATGTATTGTACAACACATCATCAGTAGTTTTCTGCTAACAAATATGATCTCCTCTTACCTTTTGCTCTTGATGGAGAAGAAGGAGATGAGCTAGTTAAAGGCTTTCTAAGGGTGGTATAGGGGCCTTGCATATCGGTACGGCCCAGGTTAGGCCTGTTTGCGTTCTGATCACTGTGCACCCTCTGATGACTCACAGCAGGTTCTGACTTCCTTCTCTTTCTGTAGTCACTCGCAGTACTTGCAGAACTACAGAAATAAGCAGTATTAGTTGCAGTCTAATTCTGAGATCAGAATTCAGGAATTTGAAAAGTAAGCTCATAATTATATTATTGGTTTACAGATTAAACGATGCCAGGACAAATACATCAAAAACATGTGAAAGGAAGAAGCACTGGTCTCAGACATCTTACAGCATATTTCACAGAGAAAAGCTGAATTTCTTCGTCACCTGACTGTTTTAAAGACTTACACAAAATTGCTATGTCGTTTTCATAGTAAAGGCTTTGAAATAAACGCATCAGGTTTTTTAGACTACTTTTTGGTACTTAAAGTTCAGCGCAAAGACAGGAAAAAGACAGAGACTGAGAACAGACAAGGCAGCATGCTTAGGGAAACAGCACTGAAATGCTGCAGGCAGTAAGGTTAAATGATTGCTGCAGTTGAGACAGAAGCTCAGGGACGTTAGTGGAAAGACACAGAATACAGCATGGCTTACTTGAATGTAAACAGTAAGTCCTTTTAAAACAAAAGTAAAATACACTTCAGTATCAAAATATCAACACCCTCTCCATGCATCTCAATTTTGTCAGTAGCTCACAAGGTGAACATTAAAATCTGACTCTTCATAACATCCACTGGTTTCAGGTTACAAGCAAAACCCTCAGGCTGTATAGTCTATGTCTACTGAAATCATACGCTGTATTTCTTACCTAGAGGGCCTGTCCAGGCCTCTGTCTGTTGAATAGTGATGATATAAGGAAGTCTGTGAAAACAAATATATGAATCTGTTATAAGCCTATATTTGAAAAAAGGGTGACAATTTCTGCTTATCATGATTATGCTCTGTTACTCTGTGACAAATCCTATAAAAAAAGAGACTATGATGATTAGCATATCCTGGGCATTCCAGCATAGATACTTCAACATTTCATGAGAACAGTTATGCATTTTTTTATAAAGCAGCACTAGATTTCATTTCATTTTCTACTTTAGTAACATTTTTTCTTTTAAAGCACTGCTAAATAATGATCCAATGTCATGCTTCTCTATACCCTTTTAAAAAATAGATATAGAACAGCTGAAATGAACTTTTAGTATAAAAACATAAAAATCTGAAAATAATTCCTTCATGTGCAAGTGAGGTCTGCAGAGATTCTCCTCCCCTGCAGTTACTCACCAAAATCCCACTATCAATTACAGCCAGAAACTTTTGTAAATCCCATGATGTTTGTGGCCAGTTGCTGACCGCCTTATATTCCTGGTAAGAACAGTTCTTATCACAGAACATTAGGCGTTGTTTATGGAGTTATGGAAGTAGATACTGCACAAAGCCTGGAAGATGGAATGGAGTAACGCTCCGTAATTTTATTATTCGTACAAAGTCAACCTTAAATAACTACTAATTTAAAATCAACCATTTCATACATTTCAAGCCTGCAGTCAGAATTAAGTAATTCTGGTAACTAGGTATGAATCTAGAATGAACTGCATGACCCCTGGGGTATTTCATCATGGGTACAAAGCAGTGTGGTTCAAAAGTTAAACTCGTTTCAAGTTCCTGGCATGTCATTTCAGAGCTAACCCAATGGAAACAGAACTATCATACAGATTTGTAAACTGCAGGAACTATTTTTCTCTCTACAGAAATCTTCTAGGATTTTTCTCTATATGGGAAAATCTTTATAGACTTTTCTCTGTACAGAAGGACTGCAGAAGCAATAGCACTCATGGCCTGTGTAAGTGCTTTTTTTTTTGTTAGATATTCTTTTTTTTTTTTCCCAGTGAGTTGAATTGCAAGTTCAGGAACAGGACTTCACTCAGATTTGTTAACTGACACATATATTTCTAGAAGTCACCTGTAGTAAAAGAATATTTGGGAACAGATTTCATGGGACTGTATACTTTAAATGACATTCAAGACTAATAAACTACTTTACAGGTGGGGCACTATAAAGATAATATGCTTGTTCAGTCAGAGTTAATTTGTCAGTAGGATTCATTATTTAAGACCTGAACCACACATACCAAGTGATCCCATTAGGACACTAACTGAAGTTTTAATTTCTGGATTATATTGAAATTTATTATACTGTGAGGCAGGAAGAACCACACAAACATAATAAATACAATATGGAGAAAATGTTATCTAAAACCTGAGCTAAGATCATTACAATTTTTTTCAGTAATTTTTAACTAGTTTAATTTAAATCACACTAAAAATCAGGTAAAAAAAACTTCCAGCTTTTGCTAACAATGGCAGCTGAGATGTAAACAGGTAAAAGATGTTAATAATTCAAAGACTTTAAAGTTACTTCCCAGAGAAAATAAATCCTCTATAACTTATTTAAGGTGATCTATGCGCAGGGTTTCAAAATGTTTACTTTTTCAAAAAAGTAAGTTCTTTGCTTTGTGAACAAGTATTCAAGTTACTTCTATGTTACTACTTATTACTACTGTTGTTCTCACTATTAAATACTGTTATGTTCATAAGCTCCAGTTTGGATCAGAATAACACGCTACATAAAGACAAAGGCAGAATCCCTCCTCAACTGAGATTACAGTGATCCCTCCTGAAGTGAGATAAGTGATCTATAAAGAATATGCTCATTGCAAAAACCAGTAACATAAACCCGACCACTAGAAATGGCAGAACTACATTCCTGATATGTCTCTCAAGTCATATATGGCTTAACTTGTAAAACTCAATGGCAGAACTAGGTCTAACATGGATTTCTATGAGATTAAGGATTATGAATACAAGCTGTATCCTATTAGTAATGTTTGTGCACAGCTCTTGCTCCTCTTAACAGAAATTTTGAAGGTAACAAATTTTTGAAAACAACATTTGGTTGTAATGTTGGCAAGGAGGGTTAAGGCAACTCTGATATTTCACCAAGAGACAGCATAGGAACTGGCCTGTAATTGAAGGAATATAGTTTCTGGCCTATTTCAAGGCTTCTTGGTGATACTGGACAGTTCAACATAGCATGTTTTAATTTTGGGGGAAATCTCGAAGTAAGCCCATGTCCAGGAAAAAAGGAAACCCAAGGTTTTGGTTAACATTATTCTGTTTTCTTCCAATTTATTTTGAAATGAAATAGACTACTGGACTAAATCATGAAACCGTGATGATTGTTCCACTTCATTGTTTTAGTCAATTGTGTGTTTAAACTTGCTAGTCTTTGCACCTGTTCAGAATGGAAGCAATGTGAGACTCAGGTAATACCTTTCTGAGTCATGTGCTCTAGAAGTGATGCGTCTTTGTGAGATTTTAAAGTCTCTTTTTAAATATTCTGTCACCACATCAGAGGCAAAGCTGAGGTAGTTTCTCTGCTGCTGCTGCAATTCTACTTGATGGATACTCTTAAATTGTTCCTGTCAGAGCTCAATTAGCCCAAAATCTCTGAAACTGCTTCCAAACAACAAATGTGATTCTATTATAATGATGTGCTACATTGTTCTGTATGACAAGTATTTTGTTTTATAATAAAATGGGAAACCAAAAGAATAGATTTACTCTTTTCCTCATCCTTATCCTTCCACTGCTGCATATATTTTCAGGTTTGGAAAGTGATGCTCAAGTTCCGACAACACATAACTCTGCTTTGGTGACTTATGCTACAGACAAAAGAGGGGAGCTAGAAATAAAAGCTCCAAAAATTACGTTAGTGTTATGCTAAAAAAAAAAAAAAAAGGGCTACTTGTCATGCAGTTATTTTCAGCTCATCCAATACAACCTCCAGATAGATCAGAAGAGACATGATCTCCTCTATTCATCTGCATCTCATTTACAATAGAGAATGACATGCATGCAACCTACAGCATGTGAATGACAGTAGGAAGGAAAAACTGGGATTAAAAAAGTATCAATGGCAATATGTCCACCTGCTAGGAATTACTATCGTGTTTGTTCTTTGTAAATTATCATGTCCTCAAGCAACACTCATTTGCAATTTCCAGCCTGTGTATAAGAGATCTTCACACAACCTGAGAATTGAGCTGTTACCAAGAGGAGCAAGGTGAGGTAGTGGGACATAGTCCCCGTTCTCAAGGAACAGGGAAGTCTGCATCAGGGATGTCAGGGGCATGGTGCTCTCAGGCAGGGCAGGTCTGCTGTAGCAATGGCCTGTTGGAAGAGGACTACCAACATTACTGATCATATGTCCAGCTTCTCCCAGTATTTGGTGTTTCCATCAGTGAAGTTTTGCCTCATACAATGATCTATTCCCCTTCCCAGGTGGCTTTCTGGCAGTGGTGCTCCACACACACTTTCTTCCATGGTGGGAGAGTACACAAGACTGTGCAATACAATCAAGTTTTACCACAGCATGTGATTTTTATTTGCTAAATTTGCTAAAATCAACCTATTTTTCTGCAAACAAATCTGACGTTATTTCTTACAAGTTTCATTTTCCTAGCAAAACACAGATTTCAAAGTTTGTTTGTGGTTTTTTTTTAATCATCTGTCATTGCATTGCTCTTAGGTGATAAACAAACTATGTATGACACTTCACAATAGAAACTGACTTGTGGATTCGAATGTGAAGAACAGAAACAGCTAAATGTTGGCCAAAGTATTTTAAATGCTGAAATTAGCTCATAATGTCAATGGACTTTAACATTTGAGAGAAGGGGTACTGTGAAACAAAACCATACCACCTGCTTTAGAAAAGGAGTAAAGAATCAAACCTCCTTCCCGCAGGCAGATCAAATAGAAGCCTGTGTTTTGGAGTCAGTTCTGTTATGGAAGTGTGCTGATGATCATCAGATATTCTCAGACAGACAATAAACCTCCTATTAGTACTTCGGAAATTATCCCTATTTTATTTGTCAATATTTGGAATGTGTATGAGGCTCATGATGACTACATTACTGTTCACCTATTCTGTCTAAAAAAAAAATCATAGTATTTGTTTTTTAAAATATATTCTGAAGAAGGTTCCCGAGTCTTTACTGTTCATACAGTTCATATTTTCAAGCTTTCCTTTACATCTCCTGAAAGCTGAAAACTACTTTACAAGTCTTCCAGGACTATCCAACCTCAATGATTTTAAGATAGCTAATATTTTGAAGTCTGTCTGCAATAAAACCATAGAAGCCAGCAGCAGAGTTGCTTACACCAACAGCTAGTGTAACCACAGTTCTCCTCGCATTTCTACACAGCAGAGTGAAGCAAAGGCCTCAGGTCTGTGTGCCTCCCTACACTACCCACAAAACACATATTGAGCCTGTTTTGGAAAATGTCTGAGTCTTACTTCCAAACTGGCAACAACTATCAACCTCATCTTTGTTGACCAGCCACCGCCACGGTCCAGCACCAGGAGAGGAAGGAAACTCAGGCTCACAGTGATCTCTATTAGAACTGTTGCATGAGGTGATACAAACACTGCAGATTAACAGTCATTGCAGGGTTTCTTGTGCAAATGCCAAGCTCTTCCATTAGGGACTGGACCATGATGATCTGTAACATGATACTGGCCAAACAGCCATGAGGCAGCAGTGATTATTTTCCACCACTTGTAATGGTGACCATGATGTAAATCCCAAGGGTAGTGTAGATTCCCATTGTCTTCTATGGAAGGCAATGGATAAATCACACAACTGAAACCAAATCAGAGAGAACTTCTTTATCCACAGCATTCCTCAGGCCATAAATAGTGTGTTAGTGATCAGGCTAGACTGCAGGAAGTGTGTGTCACACCAAAAGTGACTGCTGGGTTACTATATAGCTCTTTCCATCCTTTAAGATACTCTTATCACCTT